TTTCTATTCTGTTCCATTAATCTATGTGTGTGTTTTGGGGCCAGTTCCATACTTTTTGATTACTACAGCTCTGTAATATAGCTTGAAGTCTGGGATTGTGATGCCTCCAGCTTTGTTCTTATTTCTCAAAATTGCTTTGGCTATTCAGGGTCTTTTGTGGATCTATATGAAGTTTAGGATTATTTGTCCTAGTTCTGTGAAGTTCACACAAACAAGTGGAAAGATATTCCACGCTCATGAATTGGAAGAACCAATATTGTTAAAACATCCACACTACTCAAAGCAATCTACAGATTTAATGCAATCCCTATCCAAATACCAACATTTTTCACAGAACTAGATCATTATATATAATCCTAAGATGTTAACAGAATCACCTTCTCTCTTCTGAGTCGTTTCTTGCGCTTTTTCTTCCTTCACGAAAGTCTCTTCTTTTCCTGCCTCTCTTTCTGTCCTTGTTGTGAAGTGCAGAGCCCCACTTGATCCATAAGAAACTCATGGAAACTCTATATCCTTGGCCAAGTTAACGTTTTTTTCTGTTCCTGATGCTACTTAGATTTGGCTTTGGCCTCCGCTATAGTATTATGACTTCTTTAGGAAGCTGTGCTACGATGTACTATCAGCTATGCTGATAAATACTAAGGGATTATTGATATTCTGACCTAAAGAAATTCTGATCTACTTGTGTAGATCAAATGTGTTGAAAATAATGCAGATCTTTTCCTTAAACTTGGCTTTTTGTAATCGAGAAGTTACTCCTTCACTTTTAAATTCTCACCTAAAAATTATTTATATCCCTGGGGAATGTTTTCTTTCCTTCAGAAATGATTTATTGATTGCTATGTGCACACTGTGAGTCACTGGTCAAAAAGGGAGAATTCGGTACATTTGGGTGTGGGGGTGGAAGGAAGACAGCTAACATTTTTGCATCCCTGTTCATACCGAACTCTGGAAATCATTATCTTCGTATGAATCCTGACAGTTGCCCTCTGAGGTATGGAGCCTGTCACCCTCATCTCACACATGATGAGACCGAGGCTCAGAGGAACCAAGTGACTCACCACTCACCAAGGCCACGTGGCTTGTGAGGGGCAAGAGCCAAGGACCAAACCCAGGTTTCCTAGACTCCACCTCCAAACCATGCCTCCGTGTGAGGGGTATAGAAAGTTCTGGAAAAGCCTCACTAGAGAGGCTCATATTCGACTGAGGGGATCCAGAGAAGATGGGTTTCATCTTTTTTTAACAGGTTATTGGGGGATATTTGTGATTTCCCCTAAAGCAGGGTCCCTCTGAAGTTTGGAAACAAACATCCTGTTACTGTGTGTAATTCACAGCTCTTCCCTGTAGATTGCTTGTAGATAAGGTCTCCTTTCCAAGTTTTGAGTAAGCCTTTCCTTTAAGGTGCTTTTTTCTATACGGTCATTAGCTAATTGAACATTCTTTGTGTCTGACTCAATCAGTATATGAAGTGTCGTGATGAAATGCCCTTTGAAATTCAGCAATGGGAGACACTGTGCACCCCAGTGTGTTGTAAATCCATGTTCTGTGGATCAGGACAGCTGGGAGAAGTCACCCAGGGAGCTAGGACCTTAATTTGTGACCAGGACCCTGTAATGAGAGGCATTACAGTGAGCTGGAACAGTGAGTTCAAATGCAGACGCCCCCACTGACTGTCAAACCGAGGTAGTATGAGTACAGTTCTTAGAACAGTGCCTGGCGCATAGTACGTGCCAGGTTAGTATTGGCTGCTCTTGAGTATCACAGTATCCCCAAGTAAGTATGAATGGAAAGAAGGGAACATTAGTGGCAGCTTTGGGTTTTCTTTTGGGGTTTCCTTAACACTGGTTAAGGAAAGTAGTGATGAATTAGCCTTGGTTTATGGAGTCCCTTTGAAATGGTTTATCATGTTCAAGGCCATAAAGGATTCGAATCGTCTTCCCTGTTTGTTGACATGGGAAAAGAACTGACCAGTGGGGTCTTAGAGGGGATTATGTAAGTCAACACAGACGCCCACAGTCTGGGTTCAGCTAAAGAAGCAACATCAGTCCATCACCCCTTCAAACCAGGAGCCCCAGGGCCAGCCCAGACCAGCGAGGAGGCAGACGCTGGAGGTGGGCAAATGCCCAGCACCACTGAGGAAGGGGCTTCCTGGTCCCTGGTGCCAGGCAGGACCTGCTTCTCCCCTCAGGAGCTCTCCCTGTGCGGGCCAGCCAGCTGACACCTTCTCCAAGCAAATTCCACTGATCCTAGAAATTGGGATCGCTTGGAAATGCAGCTGCCTGACTGGCCTCTCCTGAATCTTCTTTAAACCTTGGGATCCTGGGGTTAAAAGCCCCTTTTTAAAAAAACAAACAGACAAACCAAGAAAACACTTTAAAACAAAATGGAAATATTACATAAGCTCGGAAAAAGGAAGGAAGGAACTTTTAAAATGTAGTATTAAGGGGGCACCTGGGTGGCTCAGTCGTTGGGCGTCTGCCTTCGGCTCAGGTCATGATCCCAGGGTCGTGGGATCGAGCCCCGCATCGGGCTCCCTGCTCTGAGGGAGGCCTGCTTCTCCCTCTCCCACTCCCCCTGCTTGTGTTCCCTCTCTCACTGTCTCTCTCTGTCACATAAATAAATAAAATCTTAGAAAAAAAAAAAAAGTAGTATTAAGGGTTTTGAATTGAATGTGGAAGTCCCCCTCCCTCCTGTTTCCCAGGTTTAACTAGAGTTATAGTTCTCTTTGTGTCTTTGGAGAAGTTTTGTCCATAGTATATGAATATGTGTAAGCCTTTTAAAAATTTACATGTGATTTTTTCCTCCATGTCTTACCTTTTTAACTTAATATATTAATGATATTTCTAGTGTATTAGTGTAGATCTACCTCTCTTTTATTTTTATTTATTTATCTTATTAGAATGAATTACAAAGCTATTTCAGTGAGATCCGGAAATTCTAACCTCTTACACAATACCATAGCTAAAAGTAAAATGCGCACCAAACTTGGCATAATTACAAGGAGAAACGGATCAGTTCACAGTTACAGCGGAGACTTAACCAAGATTCCCTGAAGCTGACACAGGTCAGTAGGCCAAAAGCAAGGAGTAACAAATGACACAGGAGACTTGAATCACACCGTAAACAGGTTTGATTGAGGGGAGATACGAGGAGCCCCATATTCAACATTTAGAGAATGTCCATCCTCTACAAGCTCACACAGGACATTTAGAAAAATGGGCATATACTTGGCTATAAAGGAGATCTTGCCACCGCTAACTTTTTATAGTTGTACGTTCTGAAAGTTTTGTCTCTTGCCTCTATTTCTTTCCCGAGTTAGTTCTACCCAGTCCTGCTTCACGCCCACCTATTTTATGACCATCTAGACTGAATTCCTCTCTGTGTTAGGTTTTCCTTCTTCACTGCAATTGCTTTGTAAGGACCCTTTTTGCTTTCTTTTAAATTCATGATGGACACGGACTGTTGGGTATAATTTTCATCTGCTCATGGCAGGTTTTTCAGGTGAGTTTTCATCACCCCTAGGGAAGTTGGACTGCTCTTCTCGATCATCCTTTTCCTAATGCTGTCTGTGCATAATGTTGAGCATGTTCCTCGGGACTAACATGGCGCAGGAATCCTGTTGTTTCCCCACCTTGCTTTTCTCAATAATGCTTCCTTAGCATCTGATACGGACAGTGTGCATCCATCATTTGCTGGGCCAGCTATCTGACTCTTCAGTTAGGAGGGAGGGATTTGTGTCTCTGGCTCACAGCTTGCCCCAGTAACGAAATCAGTGCCTTAGACATAGTCAGTACTCAATAAATATTTGTTGAATAAATTAGCACAGAGGAGCTCAAAAAACAAAACAAAACAAAGACAAAAAAGAAGACAGATTCCAAGGGTGCCTGGGTGGCTCAGTCGTTAAGCATCTGCCTTTGGCTCGGGTCATGATCCCGGGGTCTTGGGATGGAGCCCCACATTGGGCTCCCTGCTCCATGGGAAGCCTGCTTCTCCCTCTCCCTCTGCCCCTGCTTGTGTTCCCTTTCTCACTGCGTCTCTCTCTCTCTATGTCAAATAAATAAATAAAATCTTTTTTTTTTAAGATTTTATTTGTTTATTTGAGAGAGAGAGAGCACATGAGGGGGGAAGAGTCAGAGGAAGAAGCAGACTCCCCGCTGAGCAGGGAGCCCGATGCGGGACTCGATCCCGGGACTCCAGGATCATGACCTGAGCCGAAGGCAGTCGCTTAACTAACTGAGCCACCCAGGCGCACATAAATAAATAAAATCTTAAAAAAAAAAAAAAAAAAGATCCGGAATTGAAGTGGTCATTTCAAATCCCATTCATTAAAGTTTTAATACATTATCTCCATACTGAATCCTGTGTGTCTGGGGTGCGGGGTGGGGTGGGGAGACACACTTAATATTAAGACATTGAGCCCTTGCATTTTTACACACCTTAATGGAATATATAAAGTACCTCTTCCCCTTATGGGCGGGGGGAGTGGGATTTGGCAAGATGCATGTGCCACTTGATCTGGCCGTTTGGATTCTAAGAGTTCTCGTAAAGGTGCTTACGCAGTCTGCAAGGCCACAGGTATGGTGTAACTGTAGGTAGCAGCTGGTTTGGGACTAGTGTTCAAAGCTGTGTCCACACACAATAGGGACACACATAATGACCCATTGAGATGGGACAGAAAAGCTACAACTATTTATATTTTTCATCTGAATAAAGGAAATGAAGCCTTACTAACATTTAATATTAGAATAACTCTGTATCATCACTCAAGTCAGCAATGTTTGGTCACATGACCACTTGGACACTGAATTCCCAAGGCATCCTGAGAGAATGGGGGCAGACAGAGGCTCCCACCTAAGTTACTGATTTGCTTTTAACACACGGCTGCTGTTTGCAGTTTCTGCACGCGGGTTGAGTGTATTTCTAGACCATGCTCTCTTACCTTATGTTTGTAAACGCGTGGACAGCTGCGGCCGTCTCAGACTTGACCCTCACTCTTGCAGGGATGCCCTGGCGGAAGGAGCAGACCGCGGACCTGCAGCGGGTGCTCGCGCGCGTGGACAGCGACATCCCGCTGGTGCTGGTCAGCGGCAACCACGATGTGGGCAACACCCCCACGCCCGAGACAGTGGCGGAGTTCCAGAGGACCTGGGGGGACGACTATTTCAGCTTCTGGTTCGGGGGCGTCCTGTTCCTTGTCCTCAACTCCCAGTTCTGGTACGATGCCTCCCGATGCCCCGCCTTAAAGCAGGCGCAGGACCAGTGGCTGGACCAGCAGCTGAGTGTCACGGGCCAGCGCAAGTGCCAGCACGCCATTGTCTTCCAGCACATCCCTCTGTTCCTCCGCAGCATCGACGAGGAAGACGACTACTTCAACCTCACCAAGTCCGTGCGGAAGGAGGTGGCCGACAAGTTCATCAGAGCAGGTAGTGACCCGGGACCCTAGGGGCTGGCTGGAAGGGCCGGCTAGAGAGGAGGCTTCCAGATACTTTCACCTCCTGCAGCCTGGCGAAGGGTAGAGAGGATGGGGCTTTGGACAGAACTAGGTTCTGTCCCCAGCTCCACCCCTCACTGACAGTGTGGCCTCGGACCAGCTGCCTAGCCCTTCCAGCCTCAATGGACTCATCTGTAAAGTGGGAGTAGGAGAAGGAGCTCTGTCGTAGGGTGGTCGTTAGGATTAAAGGACAGGGGGCCTGTAAATCATTACAGTAGCCCCTGGGCTACAAGTAGTAAAGTTGCAGCGGCTGCTGGCTGCTGAGGATGGGGGTCCTGCAGGGAGGCAGTTATTGGGGGCAGAGGGGGTCTGACTGCGGCTATACTGACCCCAGGAGAAGGGATGATGCCAGAGGCATCTTTTCTCATATCTCTGTTGAGCAGGAACTTGCTCAACGGCAGGTGATCTTTAAGAGCCCAGCTTTCCACCGGTGTTAGATGTAACCCTGGGAAGTCCTGGGACATGCAGGTCCTGGAGCCTCCTCCTCAATTTTCCTAGGATGAGGACTGAATTCTCCTCCAGAACCAGGAGAGAGAAATGTATTTAGTCTGGTTTAACCGACTGTCAGTTATCCGCTGATGACGTATGTGACAGGCATGTGCACACAGACGTGCACACACGCGCACACGATGGTGTACTGGTCCGCACACCCGCCCTCTCCCCTCCTGGCAGCACCTGCAGTGTTGCTCTCATGAGAAATGGGTCGTTCTAAGCCGCTTCCCTGCGTGGCCAGTGACTTGGCAGGATTCCAATTCTGACAACTGTTGTGTCTCTTGTTTTGGTTTTAATGCCTCCTTTCAGATCCTTCCAGAGTATACTTCATCAAACGCTTCTAACATTTAAATACATCCATTTATTTGTTAGGAGGTAGGGAGAGGGAGGTGGTGGCCTGACCCGGTAGCAAGCATTCATTTAAAAAAAAAAAAAAAAAGTCTTGACACTCTTCTTTTCATCTTTGAGCGTTAAATGTGTTCGCATTTCCTTATGAAACGTACAATAGGCCCTTCTGTATTTTTGAGACATTTTACAAAAAGCTTGCATAATTGGAGACATTTTCCAACTGTTCCATGGAGATGAAGTTGGAAAACTTGTACTGAGGTCTTTGAAGTTTCGTGCCATGCTTGAGTTGGTGCAGAAAACCATTTTGATGACAAGGAAATGAAGTGTCACGATGGCATCAGCACCACCATGGAGACTATTTTGTAACAGAGAATAATGCCAGAGAGAACATTTAATGGCAGTGAAAAGGTTCTTTTCATATCAAACGTTAAATGATGCGAATGCCGTCCCCGTGACTGCTCTTTGTTCCCTGCTCCTGTCAGCCACATTCCTGAGTGGCATGTGGTTCTGGGTTTCCCATTCCCTGCTGGAGGACCACATGCAGCCCACACGCACCCCCAGATATGGAGACCTGTAGACCCTTAGAAAGAGAGAGCCCACAGCTCTAACAAGGCAGCCCCTCGGGGGATGCCTGCTGCCCACCCACCAGGAGCCTGGCGTTGTATTCAGGATGCGCCAGCCACCTCCCCGTCAGGCCTGCAGCCCTGCAGGCTCAGGAAGGATTTGTCAGCCCACCCAGAGCTGGTCTGTGTCTTGGAGGTGGGCTCCGGTTGCCCCAGCTCACAGGTGGAGAGCTACCTGCAGGATACCAGTTGACTGATTTAGAGCGAGACTGAAACCCTCCCCCTCAGCCCCAGCAGCAGAGTCTCTTCCCGTGGCCAGGCAACACGGGAAGCCAAGTGATAATCAGGAGCTTGCTTGCTCAGCATGAGCCAGAGCAGAGGAGCTAGTCGTCTTGTTACGCTCTCAATGGCTTCAGGCTCTGGAACGCTGACGGAGCCATCTCCAGTAGGGCCTCCTTGCCCAGAATACTCTGATATCCCTAGTGCCTTTAGCATCTCCAGACTGCTTCTTGAGGCCACCATCTGGGTCATAGCAGCAGCTCCATAGCGCCCCTCCCTTCTGGGGTCCCCCCACCCCCAGGACGAGGCCAGCTCCCCACTCTTCCCCGTGGTCTCTGCCTCTTCCATTTCACCTGGCCGGCTACTCAGCTTCGGCACCTTCTGTATGAGGTGCCCCCAGCCCCTCCTGGGTTCTTCCTCAGCTTCCCTTGATCCCAGCGGACTTGTATGTGTTGACTCATCTCAGTCGCCCAGTAGACCCGGCTCCTTGAGTGTGGGGCTGCTGCTGTGGTCGTCTCTGCATTCAGGACACCTGGCTCGGCTCTTAGCTCATAATCAGCGCTTCATCAGTGTCTGTGGAGTGAGTGAAGGACCGACAGGGCCCGTTTATTTGTTTAGCACCCACCGTAGGCCGGGCACAGAGTAGCCCAGGTCCATGCTCTCACGGAGCTCCAAGGCCAGGCTTTTCCAAGGTGCGTTCCAAGTGCCAAGCACACATTCCACAGCATCCCAGCCCCTCGTTTCGGGGTAAAGCCACTTGTGTGCTTCTGCCATGATCCACCTGCTGGCTTCCCAGGGCCACCCAGCAGCCCATTTCTCTCTTCCCATGTGGCCCCCACCGTACCCGCCATGCACCTTCATGTATGAGAAGGCATCCTCTTGGCCTGAGGCCAGGGCCTCAGGATCTGCGCCTAAGCCAGCTTAACCAGGCAAAAGCAGAGAGGTGGGTGCCCTTCCTGCTGTCACCTGTCAGTTTTAGTGGCTTATCAAACCAGGCCCTTTGCCCTATGGCCTTTCCGACCCACAACAAACCGGGGGCAGTATTGGGAAGAGATCAGAGGCCAGATGTGGACCAGCTCAGTGGCGGGCTGAGTGACCTGCTTGCTTTGGCAGCACGGATAGGTAGGCTCTCGTGGGGAATGTATGCATCCATGACTCAGTAATGCGGAAGATTGCTCAGGTTACAGAATGCAATTCTTGGACTCATTTGGGAGAGCCAGAAGTTCAAGTGACATTTTGTAAAATTCATTAATAAAGGACCATGATAAAATTGGGGGTAATGGTGCTGTTTAATGTTGCCCCCAGCTTTTCCCCCACAGCAGTATTATTCCCTAGTACTGTTCCAGTCTCATTTATCTCCTTGTGTTAAAATGTCAGCACTCAAAACTGTCAAAAGCTCATCAGAATATCGGGGTAGCTTTTAATTATGATAATTTTGTTGTTATAAAATATCCTTTTAAAGAGCACATCCCTCCTCAAACCCCCATGGAGGTAAAAACCCAGCTTCCTTCCAGCAAGCTTAATGAATAATTCTGAATCATTGTGTGGGATGAATAAATGATTTAATAACGAGCATCAACAATCATCTCTCATTGTTGCATTAATTTTTCAAATGGGATGAGGTAAATGAGGAGGAAGGGTGTTACCATACAAATGGGCCACCGTGTGCATGGGGACGCATTCTATGAATCGAAGCCTGCGAGCGTCCCCGGTCAGGTTTCCCTAGAAACAGATGCATTCTGTTTCCACTTGTGAAGCTCAGTGAAAAACATTCTTTGTGTGCTACAAAGGCGTCGTCAATAGCCGGTGCACATAAACAGTTATCAGGGCAGGACAGGTGCACAGATGCTCAGCCGTACCCCTTATTGTCGGTCTTCCTCTGCTCTGCCTGAGGATAATCAATTTCATCACATCCACGGGAGGTAGAAATTGGTTTTCCCCTTAATTCACCTGATAGCTAGTTGAGTTGCAAAGACAGATAGTAGATAATGAAATCGTGGCTAGACCCAGCCATTGTCTCTGTCCCTCATGCCTTTTTCAGCAAAAGGTTAATATGTGGCCCAATTAATAAGGATTCCAATTTAAAAACTCAATTTTAGAAAACAAAAGTCTGGCTCTTTAACTGACCCCGTCTCCCTTGATGTCTCGATACCTTTTCCTTTTCCACTCTCAGCATAGAGATGAGAACTGTGTAGCCAGGAGCCCAGAGCGAAATCTGGCAATTACGGAAACTTCCAATAAGTTGATCTTTCCTGCAAAAGTTAATGAGTAATTTCACAGAAATAGTTTCATCTCCAGTATTTATGCTTTAAAAAAAAAAAACACTGGAGAGAAAGAGATCTTAGCCCATGGTTACAGTTTTAGAATTTCAAAGTTTGAAAGAACAAAAAGGTCAGGTTTCCAGGATCCACTTTATAGGAAAAAATAAAACATCAGATCCTACTCTAATGTCTTACTGAGTTGTACTGAAATTATTTGTTTATATCCTGATTCCTCCAGCTCTGTTCGCCTCTGTAAGCCTAGCCCCTTGCCAAGACTGTCGTATAGGGACCCATCGATAAGTAAGTATCGGTTAAGTGGAATGGAATGAAATTTGATTCACATACTTATCAGCAGAATCGTACGTAATGTCCATATTACCTATGGATTGGTGTTTGCTAACTGACTTTTGGATGGGAAATGTATCACCTAGAGTGGCGGTCAGTAAACGTTTTCTGCAAAGGGTCACACGGTAAACATCCTGGGCTGTGGTCTCTGTAGCGACCCAGTGCGGAGCTCTGCTTTTGTAGTGTGGAGGCAGTTATGGACATGTGTAAGCAAACGGGCATGGCTGTGTTCCCGTAAAACTCTGTTTACAAAAGCAGGCCTGCAGACCATATTTTTCCCGCCCTTGGCTTAGAGAAATCTTCCTGTTACCATGGGATGCCCGTGCCCTCCCCTGAAGCCGTGTCCACGCTGAGCATGTGTCTAACTCCAGCATGCTTCTGGTGACCCCACTGTGGCAGCTGCCTGACTCACTGAAGGGTCTGCCCAGAGCAAGCCTCGGGGTCCTCAGTGGAGGGCACGCCTGGGTGACGCCTGTTCTATTGGAGGCCCTTGACATGATGTGGGGGTATGGGGTGGGAGGTGACATGGGGGCATTTAAAATCTAGTACTTGGGTGTCTATTTTCAACACGTGTTAGAAAAAGTATAACTAGCTCTTCAAGTTAAAGAAAAAGATTCAGTAAATAGATAGTACAGGTAGCCTGT